AGCCGCTCCTGCTGTTCTGCGAGGGCTGCGACCCCCTCACCTGCCGGGACCGCCAGCTCCGCGCCCACAAGGACCACCAATACCGGTTCCTGGAGGATGCCGTGAGGAACCAGCGCAAGCTCCTGGCCTCGCTGGTGAAGCGCCGGGGGACAAGCATGCCACACCACCACCACCACCAAGGCGGTTCGCAGCTCGGTTCGCCAAGTGTCCGACGTGCAGAAACGTCTCCAGGTGGATGTGACGATGGATCATGGCGGAGCTGAACAAGCGGGGCCGCGTGCTGGTCAATGATGCCCAGAAGGTAATGGAGGGGCAGCAGGAGCGCCTGAAGCGGCAGCACGAGTGCCTGGAGCGGCAGCACTGGACCAGGACCAAGTTCCAGAAGCACCAGGAGCACATCCTGGCGCTTCGCCTCGTGGGCTCTGGAGAGTGACAACAACACGGCCCTCCTGCTCCTCAAGAAGCTGAGCTACTTCCAGCTGCACCGGACTCTCAAGATGATCGTCGACCCCGTGGAACCCTGTGGCGAGATGAAGTTCCAGTGGGACCTCAATGCCTGGACCAAGAGTGCTGAGGCCTTGGGCAAGACCGTGGCTCCGGGACCCTTGTGCAGCAAAGCAGGGCTCTGGCGGTAGCCAGCCCATGGACGCTTCGCGTCAGATGACTCTTACTTGAGTGCAGAGCTCCATGTGCCCGCATGAAATGGTCCTGCTCCCGTGAGGGTGAAATGAGTGGCCTCATGCCCAAGGTGCCACGGGTGAGTCTCCAGCGCCTGGATCTTGACCTCACAGCTGCCAGCCAGCCACCAGTTGTCAAGGTCTTCCCAGGCAGCACCACCAAGGGCTCCAACCTGATGGTCATTGAGCCTGGGGCTGCAGCTGCTGCTGCCAGGCAGCCAGGGACTGCGCTCGGGACCCCTGGTGCCTAGCCTCTGCCTGACATGGCCATTGTCAAGGAGAAAGAGACAGAGGCTGCCATCGGTGCCCTGCCTGCCACTAAGGGCCCTGAGACCAAGCCCGTGCTGGTGGCTCTGGCAGAGGGCCCAGTGCGGAGGGTCCCTGCCTGGTCTCCCCCAGTGGCAGGACCAGCTCCGGCCTGAAGGTGGTGGCTCCAGAGGGCACCTCAGCTGCAGCTGGCGGCCCCGGTGCCCTGGATGACAGCGCCACCATCTTCCGTGTCTGTCAGAAGCCAGGTGACCTGGTCATGTGCATAGAGTGGGAGTTCTGCTTCCACCTGGACAGCAGGATGTGCCCGGGGAGGAGTGGAGCTGCTCACTCTGCCACGTGCTGCCTGATCTGAAGGAGGAGGACGGCACCTGAGCCTGGACGGTGGGGACAGCAGTGGTGTGGTGGCCAAGCTCTCGCCAGCCAACCAGCAGAATTGTGAGCGTGGCCTGCTGGCCCTTTTCTGCCACGAGCCCTGCCGGCTACCAACTCCAGCTTCTCTGTGGATCAGCCTGGTGGCACATTGGACCTGACCCTGATCACGCCGGCCTCCAGAAGTTGTTGCCCCCCCCCCCTCCCTACAACTCCCCTCAGGAGTTTGCCCAGGATGTGGGCCCAATGTTCAAGCAATTCAACAAGCTGAAGGAGGACAAGGTGGACGTGCAGTCCATCATCGGCCTGCAGTGCTTCTTTGATGAATGAGGCCTTTGGTGACACCAAGTTCTCTGCTGTGCTGGTGGAGCCCCCACCTGAGCTTGCCTGGTGCCGGCCTGAGCTCCCAGGAGCTGTCCAGTGGCCCTGGTGATGGCCCCTGAGCCAGCTCAGCCTGGGCATGCCCTGTCAGCTGCGCCCTTTGCCTCCGGTGGTCTGGCTCCCGTTCCTTGGTAGCCTCATTCCCC